AATCTGGCTCACCCATGGACTTGGAACCGCCACAGTAGGTGATCGACCACTCACACACTGACTTACAACATCCCTCCCTCACCACTGCCCTGGCTTTCAAGGTGTACCGGAGATTTTGTGTCTTCGCAATTGGTTGCTAGTCCTTACACAGGAAAGAGTTTGATCGATTTCAGGGAAGCATGCAATGTCTTGCCTCCCAGGGGTTGTCAGGGAGCAGGGTGGACTGTCCCACAAATGTCCTTTCTCTTTGTGCACTGCAGTGCTGCTCAGTATGGAGACCTCGGAGTTTCTGGAGGTGGGCATGCAATACCAGAGACTGGTTCTGACCACGTTGTGAGGGACGACGTTCTTAAAAAAGGAACAAGTCCTTTCTGTCCTAGAGGCTTCCTTTCTAATCAATGTTTTAGGAAAGAGCAGTAATAAGGAAACTGAATAAAAACTATCAAAGGTAAAGAAACAGAAAGAGTTTTTAGTGTTCGTTTTATCCAAAGATACGTTTTCGTATGTAATACATTTGCTATGCAATTACAGTAGTAAAGAGTGTCGGTGCGGGTCAGATGCTCAACTTGACCAAATCCCCTGGTAGGCCAGCTAGTGGCACAGCGGTGAGGGCATCTGGATCCCACTTGGCCTATTACATGGTTCAAGTCCCAGGCTCAATGGCTTGAAATCCACGTGTGCCCAAAATCCCAACTAGAGGGAGAGATGGAGAAGGGGCTGTGATGTGACCATTCCCCATGGGGAATGCTTTCTCACTTTGTCTCTGGCAAGTGCAATGTGCCCTCGGGCAAAACAAAAAAATCCCCTGGCTCCAGAAGTAAAAGTAGAGACCACAGCAACAAATGCAGTTCACTGAACACACACAGCAGCACAGCTATAGATCCCAGAACCATGTTTTCATAGGAGTCCCAGAGAAACTGCTGCTCAGTGACACCTTCCCGGTAAATTTGTGACAATTATACCAAAAGCCTTGAATAAATAGTTACCAGGGTACATTTGCTACTTGGCCATAAACTTACTTCCCATCTGAACAGTAGAATCTTTGTGGGAATGAAAGAAGTGTCACGTTTTTCTAAAACAATTTCCAAATATGTATCAATTGATGTAATGTGTATGTTTTTTGGACCCAGTTTTCCCAAAGTAGAAAAAGCTTGGAGAAAAAGCTCTGCCACTTCCCATTCTGTGCACTCATCATCTGTAAAAACAGGGATGTGGAGTTAGCGTAACAGCTATGCCACTGAATTCCCATGTAGCCGACCGCGGTTCGCATCACAGACCCAGTGGCTTAAACTCATGCCGTGCACCTGTGTGTGCGTGCCCAAGATCCTGAGAGGAGAATGGAGAAGGGATTGCAATGTGACCATCCCCCCGGGGGGTGATTTCTCACTTTCTGTCTCTGTCTTTCTGGCGAGTTCACGCGCCCTATAAGCAAAAACCTCTCCAAAACTAAAACTAAAACAAAAACAGGGATGTGAATCGCAGAGTAGTAGTTAACCTCCTAGAGCTGTGTGAGGACTAAATGAGTTCACTCATGAAGGGCTGGGATGGGCACACGATGTAAGTGGGGCTGTTATCCATGACCTGGGCTTTCTTAGCACAGCAGAGAAGTAGAAGCAATCTACCTGCTCAACATCAGGAAAATAGCTAAATAAGTTACACTGTATTCCTGTGATGGGCCTCCATGTTTACAAAATAACTGCCAAAAAGAAGTGATAATTTGTCAGTTGAGGATGGACTGTGATGCTAATGCTGATAAAAGGGAAACTTTGTATAT